TGTGTGGATCATGACAAGCTATGGACAACATTGCAGAGAATGAGTATTGAGGAACACTTAATTGTGCTCATGAGAAACCTGTACATAGATCAACAGCAGTTGTTAGAACAGAACACAGGAACACTGAATGGTTTAAAATCAGGAAAGGTGTATGCCAGAGTTGTATTCTTTCAACCATACTTATTCCATCTGTATGCTGAGCAAATAATTTGAGAAACTGAATTATGTGAAGAAGAACATGGCATCAGGATTGAAGGAAGAGTCATTAACAATTTAGGGTATGAAGATGATATAATCTTGCTTGCTGAAAGCGAAGAGGATTTAAAGTATTTACTTATGACGATCAAAGATCAGAGCCTTTAGTATGCGTTGCTCCTAATGTAAAGAAAACAAAAATCCTCACAACTGGACCAGTAAATAACATCAAGATAAATGAGAAAAGATCGAAGTTGTCAAAGACTTCCTTTTGCTCTGATCAACAACCATCAACATTCTTGGAAGCAGCAATCAAGAAATCAAAGCACTTACTGCATTAGGCAAATCTGTTGCACAAGACCTCTTTAAAGTGTTCAAGAACAAAGATGCTAGTTTGAGGACTAAGGTGCACCTGACCCAAGCCATGGTATTTTCAGTAGCCTCATTTGCAAGTGAAATCTGGACAATGAATAAGAATTGATGCATTTGAGCTATGGTGTTGGAGGAGACTATTAAAAGTACCATAAACTGCCCAAAGAACAAACAATTCAGTCTTGGAAGAAGTACAGCTGGAATGCTTCTTGGAAATCAGGATGGCTAGACTTCATTTCTCATATTCAGACATGTTATCGGGAGGACCTGGAGAAGGACCTCATGCTTAGTGCAATAGGGGGTCAGTGAAAAAGAAGACCCTCAATGAGATGGATTGGCACAGTGGCAGCAGCATTGGGCTCAAGTGTAGCAACAATTGAGAGGTTGACACAGGACCTGGAAGTGTTTCGTTCTGTGGTGCGTAATGTTGCTATGAGTCAGTACTTACTCGACAACACCTAACAACAACACAGTTGCTGTGTGGAGTCCTGGTGTAGTGCTGTAAGATAATGCACTAGACTGCAAAGTCAGTTTGAACCACAAGGTCGCAGTTCAAACCCACCAGCTGCTCCTTGGAAACCCTATACAGAGTCTGAGTCTGACCTGACTTGATAGCTTTTTTTATTTAAACCCCCCCTCCCCCCAAAACAGGGACTTTATTATTCCCAACACAGGGCAGGTCTTCACGGGGTGGTGGGAGGCGGCTTTGGGCCCCTACTTGCCTGCGATGAGTGGGTTCCACAGGACCACAATGACAGAGCCCCATGTAAGGAACATCTTGGAGCCGTAGCGGTCCTTGTTGACGGACTTGGACTTCTTCTTGCCCTTACCACTCTTGGGGACTTTGGTCCACATTTCTTTCACATTCTCCAGCACCAGGCTGCTGTCGAAAGCCTTGATGCGGCCTAGCAGCTTCTTGTTGTTGCGACAGTTGATGAGCACTTGGGTGTTGACCGACTGAGTGAGCACCGACAGGTGCTGGGTGTTAAACTCCTCCTCCTCCCGCTTCTGCAGCTCCTCTGGGGTCATCTCACTCTTGGTCTTGTTGAGGAGGCTCCTGGTGCAGGCAGCGTTCTCTGGTCACTCCCGTTTCCTCCGCGTTGCCTCAGCCTCAGCCTTTGCCTCGATAGCTTTTAATAGGAAGGTTGTTAACTAAGTGCCACAAATAGCATGACATCAAACCATAGAAACTTAACTCGTTTACATCTGTAAGACCCTGTTTTCAAATAAGGCCGCATTTAGAAGTACCCAAGGATTAGGGTTTCACTATAACTTCTAGGTGACAGCATTCAAGCAACACAGTGGTTAATCAAGCTTTATCTGAACTACCATTTCCCACTTTCATCCCTGAGGGGAGGAATGCCACAGGGAAGGCAAAGAACAAAGGAGAAGGAATCACTAAAAGTTGAATGTTGGCCTAAGAAAAAAAAAATTAGAAGACACAGTTTCCAGTCCTTCTGAGAAACAAGACATTTGCCCATAGTAGAGGAGAGAAGTGTCTGAAGCAGAGGGCTGAACTATAGTGACAAGGGGTCCTCCCTGTTCCATGGATATGTGGTGTGAGGAGTGACAATGTTCTGAGCCCCAGTTAAACAGAGAGGGAAAGGCTTGGGTTTAGCTATGTAGTGCTGCTGTAAGAGAAATGCCACAAGTGGGTGGATGACTTTAACACATAGATGTCTATTCTTTCACAGTTTAGGAAGCTAAATTCAGGGTGCCAACTCGGGGGAAGGCTTTCTCTCTGTCATCTCAGGAGGAAGGTCCTTCTCTCTTTTCAACCTCTGTGGACTCTCACATTCCTTAGAAATATCCATGGTCTTAGCACCATTCATCCCATTGTCTAGGAGGTTCTCAGCACAGGGACCCAGGGGCCAAAGGATGCACATCATTCCTAGCTCTTCTTTCTTGATGGTACTAAGATTCCTTTTTCTCTGCTACCTTCTCTGTTTTTGTTTTTTTTGTGTGTGTGTTTTTTAAATATTTTATTGTGAATTATGTGATAGTTTACATGGGAGAACATTAGCTTTTCATTCATCCTATCGTGTATCGTTTCATTGCCATGGTTACAATCCCCTCCATGCATTATCAACCAACCAAAGGGCATATTCTGCAAGCCTTCCCCCTGGTCCTCAGCACACAGCCCCTCTCCCTCTCTGGCTCTAGAGTTTGCTGTTTTTAATCTCTTGTAAGATAAAAGGTGATGCAGGCTACACCCCAGGAAACTCCTTTTACATCTGGTTAGTGCTGTGACCTGAGTAAGGGTGTTATTGTTGTTGTTGTTAAGTGCCGTCGAGTCGGTTCC